CCTGTCTATGGTGTGTTTTTTTCTGAGTGTTTTTTAAATAGTGTAAGCAGCACTTCTGTCTCACCTGAAAGATGCAGATTTTTCTGAGTAAAAACATAGTCTGTAGTTCTGATATACCACTGTTACCACAGGCAATTCTCAGTTGTCTGATGGCAATGTATTTTCACCCATGACATATGGAGGTGAAGATTTAAAGTTGATACAAGTGATCAAGATGAAACCATTAATTCTTGAGTACTTTTTTTTTTTGATAGTATGATAAGTAGATTTTATTAGCATTTGTGGTATTTTCCCAGTTTAGGCTTTTCTGGAACGGCTTGCATTTCTCAGTGCTTGCTTTGCAGCTTCCCTGCAGTGCCAATAGGATGTGTGGGTGTATAGTAGTCCCTTTGTTCCAAATTAATTTGCACACCTTGCAGCTCATGAAGAATAATATAAAGCAACATCATTAAAGAGAGTCTATGAGAACATGGTGAGATTTGGGATGATTGTGGTTGGAGTGGCTTTGAGTGTGTTAATTTCCATCCCTGAATAATAAATAAAGGATGTACGCTAATTACAGAGCACTAAACCTTACAGAAAATCAGTGAATAAGAACTCTAATAATTTTTCATATAAAGTGAGGATAAAAAAATTATGTGCTGGATTTGCATGGAATGAAGACAGCTGAATGCTGTCGGTTTTGTGGATGCATCTTCATGTGTAATTAAGCAAACCCCATTTATCTGTGGGGGTTTTTTAATGCCAGAATGGTGACAGATTCTTGCTTTCAAAATACTGTCTTATTTTAAAATGCGTGACACTCAGTGTGGGGCAGAAGGTGTACCAGGGGAAGCCAGGCAAACGTTTTCTTATAAGTTGATATGGGTTTTTCCTCTATGAGTTTCCCTTCATTTTCTGGTTACAGAACTCAGCAACACATAACAAGTTAGCTAAAACCACTGAATTTGCTCTGGGGTAAATTATGCAAAGCCACGATGTTTTCTCTGGTTTTTGCTCAAAACTTTTAACAGGTGTGTTGCAGGCTATGCCAAAGTTTGAAAAAAAATTAGGGGATGTTTCAGCTAACTTGGTGTGAGCCTGGGCTGCTCATAAAACTGCAGACCAGTTGTGCACTCTCTCAGATTGGGTTTTCTGAGGGGTGGGGAATTTAGATGCTACAATAATTAGCATTGATAGAAATACCAAGGGCAAAACAAGTACTCTGAAACTTGCATTTACAAGCAGATATAAAAAGTTAGTATTGCCTGCAAAAATGGTTATCAACGATCACTTTTTTGATTTTTTTTTTTTAAATACATTTTAGGAGCAAATATCAAGCTTGCTGACATTACACACACTTTGTGTTGATTCTCTGCTCTTATCAAGCACCAAATCCTTGTTTTCCTTTTGGAATGAAGACTGCTTGTGTGAAAAGAGCTTTTTTCATGCATAAATCCGCTCTGGAAAAAAAATCACTCACTTTTTTATTATAGAAAACTCTGTATATTAAGAATCTTAAAGGAGGAAAATCAGAAAGAGTTCATCAGTTAACTGTATAATTAACATCAGTTTAGTGTCAGTTCAGACGCAGTAAAATATGTGTCACTGATGATACCTCACTTTTTCCAGTTCACCTTTATGCAAAAGCCTATGAAAAGAGATTCATGCTGTGAATTCAACAGTATTTGAATAGCTTCCCTTTTCAGAGGAAAGTATTTCAAATTATCTGTTAAATTTGCAAATGACTGTGTTCAGGTCATCCAAGGTAACTTTCTGACCTCTTGGTCCATGGTCTGGTTCATATATTTTAAGTGTACTCAGTTACTGTTCCTGTTTCAGGGAGCTCTTTGCATGTTTGTATGCTTTTTTAGCATTTTCTACCATAAAGCTTTATCAAAAAGTACCTGTGCAAGCAAATTCATTCTCTGTATTCACTTTGAGGGTTTGTTTAACTTTTCAGGTCCGTAGAGAGTACAGGAAATTCTTCAGAGCCAATGCTGGAAGAAAAATTTATGAATTTACCCTTCAGAGACTTGTATGTATATATCCGTAAAAAGCACATGTACATTTTCTGTGTGTCAATTTTTTGTTTTCTAGCAGAAGTAACAGCTGTATTATGGCCTTAATAGTCTTTGTAAGGAAATGTCCAAGATAAGCATATGGAAAACTGACAACTTAAATATTCTGATGTTGTAAAGAAAGGATAGCAATAGTGTTTTAAAGGTAGTGATAGTGTTTTAAAGGTGTGGGAATGGTACTAACTAAGCATTTGCCACGCTTGTACGATACCTAAATCTGCATTTCTCAATGTACCTGGCTTTTTAAATCCATATTCAGGTTTATGAAAGCTGAGAGTTGCAGTTTGGTAACTGTGCTTTTAGTCACAGAGCATCTGCTTTTCCTTGCTTATTTCAATAGCTCTGGTACTTGAACATTAATAAAACATCTTGCTTCAATTTTATCACAGATGCAAAAATACTTCCTGGAAATGAAGAATAAGATGCCTTCTTTATCACCGATAGATAAAAACTGGCCAGCGAGACCTTACCTTTTCTTGGATTCAACTCACAAGGAACTAAAGCGGATCTTCCATTTGTGGAGGGTAGGACACATTCTGGGCCAGTCTGTACAGAACTTCATCACATGATTTTCACTAGTTTTGTGTTGTTCATGAAGAGCCTATTTTTAGGATGTATTTCTTCCCGTTCAGACAGGATATTTTATTACTTTGGAAGAAGTGTTTTCTTTTGATCATTGTCTTTGGCC